AAAGATGTTTGTAAAAGAATACCTAGGAGCGGCGCCCGTCCTTGGAGACAGTGATGGAATACCTAAAAGATCCGTTAAAGAAATATAAGGAAGGAGAACGACCGAACGACCCGCGACTGATCACCATGCGAGGCGCGTCGGTCAGACCTCATTGAATATGAGGTCTCTGAATATGATGACGACATTTTGGATTATGAGGCATGATGAAAACACAGAAGAAAATTTTACTACATTCGGCTGTAATACAATATTTTTGCTTTGTTGTTGATAATAATGATAATGGTGATAACGGTAGTGATGGTAATGATGATAATAATGATGATAACGGTGGTGGTGGATGGTGGTAATGATAATGATGAAAATGATAATGGTGTAATGCTAATCATGACTGTACAGTCATGTTTTGCGGATGAAACAAAACGGGGACATTTTCCCTGAAGCCTTCATTGGCGCTGGACAGCATAAGGGAGTTTATGGATACCCGATTTAATGAACAGAATTTAAAATGAAATACATATAATATACACATCTCTCTTTCTCACTCTCTCTTCTCTCTCTTTAGTGCAGAGATCACAAACACAATGTATCTATCGACATAGATCTTGGCTCTCTCTCTCTCTCTTTCTCTCTGGCTCTCTCATCCACACTCACATAATTTCTTCAAAGAATTTCATCTTCGTATAATAAATAATTCTGCATTGAAAATTATGATTACATTTTTTAGGGTAAGGATATAAATAGCTTATGTGATGTTATAATTACAGAATTCGGTATTTCTTTGTTCACAATTTTTTCTAAGAAAAGCTAGAAAAGAGTTTTTAGGCGAAAGCACGAACTTCAAATGAAAAGTGGAATGAATGGATAAATAAATGGGTTACACCCTTTTAAATACGTTTATAAATGTCACTGCTGAAAAACATCGTTTTCTTTGTTTTATTTACTAAAGAAAACGGAAGCATGTAGAACACATTTATTCTGATATCTGCATGGCCTTTCATCACCCTTTAATCGTCTCTTCTACCTTTTCATTTACATCCGCTGTCACTTTCTGTCTGTTCTCTTTCTCTCTCTCTCTCTCTCTCTCTCTCTCTCTCTCTCTCTCTCTCTCTCTCTCTCTCTCTCTCTCTCTCTCTCTCTCTCTCTCTCTCTCTCATCCACACATATATTTCCTCAAAAAAAAAAAAAAATCGTATACAAAAAAAAGAAAACAAATTTTAATTATTCTATTATCACGGAAAGTTTTTATTAACATATGAAAATACTATAAACAGGTATATATTATTATGTTTTACTGTTATATATTCATTCATGCATTAAAAATTAAGATTAAAAGTACAAAATACTAGCGACAATAGAATTTGGAGATTGCAAGAAAATATCATCATAAATAAAGAAGAGGCATGAATATGATTGGGAAGATGAGGAATACAAAAGAAAAGAAAGAAAGAAAGAAAAACAAGGTTTGTGAATCGGATATTCAAGTACTGGTAAATGTCGTTTGTCTATTTTTTTTTTTTTTTTTTTTTTTTTTTTTTTACTTGTTTTTTCCTGATCTTAGATGCAAAGACGCAATCGGGGAAGGCTGAACGAAACGTGTTCATTTAGTATCGCTGTATTTCGGTTAACGACCCTCATCACACTCAAATATCAAACTGTTATCATCACCAACCTATCCTTCTGTCATTTGTCATCACTATCTGTCATCAGTTTTCACCAACATATTCTCCCTCTTCTCCCTCTCCCTTCCTTGTTTTCTCCCCCCCCCCCCCCCCTCGTTAGTCATCACTTAAGTCAACCTACTATCATTCATAATAAAACAGTCATTTTGTCATTAGTCACCACCAACCTGTCATCACTCATGTCAGAACTACCAGTCTATGTCACTGTGTGTGTAATTTCTCTTTTTCCGTCTTATTTCCAGTCTATTTCATTTTAATTACGCACACAAACCCACACACATACAGGCACACACACATACACAGTAACTGGTAGTTTGACATCACAACCGCTAAGACATTAATTGCATCACTAATAAGTAGTTTTCATTATAATATTCAATCCAATGATATACTGTGTTTGAGAAAAGACATTCACACAAACACAGACAAATATATATGTACATATATATATATATATATATATATATATATATATATATATATATATATATATATATATGCCTTAGACCCTTCGAGCCCCACTCGTCCATCGATGGACGAGTGGATAAAAGCACACGTTGAGAATTATTCAGACAAAAACATTGACCAAGGATTCTCATTTGACTGGCGAATATAAAAATAAATGCGTAGCCGCCAACTTCAA